TCTTTCAGTACTTTAGTGATGTAGCTCCACTGTCTTCTCAGTTGCAGTGTTTCTGATGAGAAGTTCTCAATCTTTTTTCCCCTATCCATATTTCATCTTTTCTCTGACTGCTTTTAAGTTTTCTTTTTATTATTAATTTTAAGCAATTCGATTGTGATGTATCTTGATGTAGTTTCTTCATGTTTCTTTTGCTTGATGTTTGTTTAGATTCTTGAATCTGTGGCTTTTTAGTTTTCATCAAATTTGAAAAAATTTTGGCCATTATTTCTTAAAGTAGTCTTTCTTCCCCTTACCCCCTCCCCCCATTCCCACACTCCAATTCAACTTACATTCAGCTGCAGAAGTTATCCCAGAGATAACTTTTACAACTCCGTACCTTGATTGACTCCAAAATAAGGTCTCTGTCCACAAATTGGGCCTCCAGGTTACCCTACCTTGTCAGGTTCTTTATTACCTTATTATTTACATCTCTGATTTTCAGTATGCTCTTTATTTCTGGTACCCAGAAACTTATCTTTGTTTCTTTCTGACATGCTCAGTAGAATTTAACATATTTGTTATATTTTATCTACTATCTCTAAGTATCCATATTGAGAGAATTTCAGGTTATCTTGATTCATATCTCTTTAGGGATAGATAGCAGGGCCATTTCCCTGTTTAAAAGGACATATTTATTAAAGAACAGGGTATGCATTCTAACCTGGGCATTGAGAAAAACAAATAAATGTCATATGTGTGTATGTATTTGATAAGTATTTGAAAAAATCCTAACCTCTACAGCCTGCTTCAGTTTGGTAATTCAGAGTTTTGTATTAGTCTTTTGAAAATTAATTAATGATTACTAATCTTCAACACTGTTTAAGGATAATAAATCCTTATACATCTAATAAATCCTAAATACATCTAAATTCCATTTTTGGTTAATTTTTCCTTTAGGAACCATTTGACAGCTCATAAAATGTTTTCATTATTTTTAATGGACACTATTTTTAGTGGGTTATAGTGAAATCTGATTCAATGGCTATTATTTCAGAGATATAGGACTATACTGAACCCATCTAGTGTGCTACAGAGGGGGAAAAACATAGGCTTCAGGATGAGAATGACTAGATTTGAATATTAATTCCAGCACTTCTTAACAACTCATAATACTCAGGATAGGAAATATATTTAAATGAAAATTACTAGTCTGAAGAATACTTTGAGCCTCTATGACTTCTGTGATATAACTATTGAGCACTCATAATTCCATTCACTCATACAACAAATATGTATTGGATGCTTGTCACATAGTACCCTGGATGCTATAGGAGATATTTTTTATATAGACGTATAGAGTCTTTCCCCTCTGGGAGTGTACAGCTCAGGTGGGGAGCAGTAAGACAAATATGCAAGTGAGTGTAGCGCCAAGCAGTATGAGAGCAGTCACAAGTATGCTACAAATGAAAGGCTCCAGTTGAGGCTATCACTTACTTCTGAGCAGTCCATCTTCTTAGTTTGGTGTGACAAGGAGTGGGGTTTTTTGTTTTGTTTTGTTTTTTTGAGACAGGATCTTGCTTGTCACCCTGGCTATAGTTTAGTGGTGTCATCATAGCTCACTGCAACCTCAAACTCCAGAGATCAAGAGATCCTCCTACCTCGGCCCCTGCAAGTACCTGGGACTACAGGTCCATGCCACTATGCCCAGCTAATTTTTCCATTTTTTCTAGAGATGGGGTCTTGCTCTTACTCAGGCTGGTCTCTAGCTCCTGGCCTCAAGCAATCCTCCCGCTTCAGCCTCCCAAAGTGCTAGGATTACAGGTGTGAGCCACCTTGCCCAACCACAAGGAGTGTTTTAATACCAAAGTAGCCTAAGCCATAGCCTAAGCAGCACTTAAGACCTATTTCTGAATTTGATCATCTAGCTGTTCCACCTCCACTCAGTCAATGTATGGAAATTTCTAGTTACTTTGATGTGTCCTTTCAGATTTAGAAAGGGGAACCTCCACAAAAACAGCTTTGTAGGGCATAGGAGAAATTCCAAGGGACACATCTACAAGTTATGAGAACAAATTTATACACGAAATGTTAACCACACACCTGGGATTTTCTAAAAAGTCTAATAATATAGAATAATATGGCAAAAATGCCTAAGCAGTTTTCTCTAATTCCCCAAATTGGAGATGACTGTGAACAGGACAGTTAGAGAGGTAAGTACAGCATCTACAGGACAAGAAGAAGTGATAGCCATTCACAAGCAACTACTAAACATGCAAGAGGGTATGACCATGATGAATTTAGGGAAATTCATCCTGGGCCACATGCCTGAGCCAGCACATCTGCCGGGGTGGTCAGAGAGGGCTGTGGGCAAGGGAAAGAGTGCACAACAGGTGCTACATTCTAATTCTGAGGCAGAGATCCTTATATTTAATGGCTTCTCCTATCTGCTACAATCTGTTTTAAAACAGAGCTGTTTACTTAGAATGCTTTTATTATAAACTGTATTTGTGCTCAAAGGGCTTCCAGCTGTGATAGCTTTTAGAACGTCCCTTTGTTATGTGTATATAGTGTCATAACAGGTCATTCCTGTCCAACCAGTCGATTTCATTGACCCTGATGGAGCTGCTTTATGCATATCTTTTTCTTTTTTAGTTTAATTTAATTTAATTTAATTTTAATTTAAAAGCTATATCTTTTTCCTTTTTAATTCTTGCTGTAGGCAATAAGTACTTTATGCCTGGAAACATGATGCATTTATTCAATATATGCTTATGAAATACCTCTCAAAGTCTAGACAGTGTGGAATACAGAGGTATATAATAGGACAGGTTCTCTGCCTTTGTGGAGCTTATAGTGTCATGAGGGAGTCCTATATTAAGTAAATAATTACACAATAATTAATTGTAATTGTGATAAGTGCTTTAAAGGGAAAGTACAGAATGTTGTAAGAGAAACCTAAGTGAATTTGAAGGGGAGAGGTCAGAAAAGTAAGGTCAAATTAAATTTTTAATTAGCTGGGTGTGGTGGTATATGCCAATAGTCCCAGCTACTCGGGAGGCTGAGGTAGGAGGATCACTTGAGTCCAGGAGTTTGAGGTTACAATGAGCTATAAGGACACCACTGCACTCTAGCCTGGCTGACAGAATGAAATTCTGTCTCCAAAAAAAAAAAAAAAAAATTAAAATTTTAAATATCTTAAATATTTCCCCAATTCAAATATAGAAAGGTAAGATTACTCCCATAGTTTGTTGATTACATTCAAGAGATACCTAAATTTGGAAAGATAGACTTATCCACAGAGGCATAGGATCCTCGGAAGTTCAATCCTTTAATTTAATGGATAACTGAAAGGGAAAATGTTATTTACTCAAGAGCACATTGCTTGCTACTGGTAGGGCTAGGACTTGAACACAGGTCTGCTAATCTTCTCATTACTTCTCCTCAGTTAGTTGAAAAATAAATTATGTATGAAATATAGATCAGCTATGACCAAATGAACTACTAAGTGGCCACTTTGTACAAACTTGTGTTTTGGGTGGAGGAAAGAGTTACGAAGTAGTGAATTAGGCAAATGCAAATATAAACAGAAATACACAAAATGTGCCTTATCAGCCTAGTTGTATCTAGTCATAGTAAAACCTTAATAAACAGGCCAAAGTAAGAGAGAGCCAGTTGGAATTAGTGAAAATATATTTAAAGGAAAATGCTTCTCTTTCTTTGAAATATAAATACTAACTGCTAAGTACGAGTCTCTAATTAGAAGTTTTTAAAACCCAATTTTATTAATGTGTAGTATTATATGATGTATAAATTATTCTGAATACTTTGTAGCCTAAGTGGTCTCTCAGGTTAAACAGGGTTCCTGATATTTTATACTATAACAATTGGCTTCAGGCCAACAACATCTAATTCTTTATTCGAAAAATTGGAAATCAATGAAATGTTACTCTTTGTACCTGAGCTTCTGGAATTAGTTGAATTATTGAAACTAGAAGAAGTATTAGGCTTCACACAGAAGGCTGGTCTTGGTTAGGTATCAGAGAGAGCACCCTAAGAGAATGCTGAGGATATATTCAGCCTTGAATTGGGGGAGACAAAAAGTAAGAAAGCATTAAGTTAAACCATATGAAAATTCCAGTTTTATAGGTCAAAAATAGTTAAATATTGCTGACTTTATATGATTCAGCCTAATAAACAAGTGATCAAAAAGGGAATCTACACTCTAATATAGACAAGTATGGGTATTTATTAAGTTTAAGTACATGTGTATTGGCTATACTTTTGAACTTAACAAATGAGAAATTCTGTTAGTGAATTAACTTTTAATTTTATAGGGAATCATGATTTAAATAGAGGCAGATGGTATAATAACTTCAGAAGCTAAAAATATTCTAAAAGATTTTCAACTTAGTTATCCACACTTCCTGAGTATGAATGTAGTGGGGAAATACTTATTCGATAACCAAAGCTTTAGAGATGTGGTATGGAATGAGGTTAACCCAGGGTCTTTTGCCTTCAGCCTCTTTCTATGCTAACCAGCGGATTATTTCCTAGTCTTTTACAACTCCCTTCCAGTCCTTAGTTTCATACTGACAGTTTCCAAGTTTATCTCAGGAAAATCAGGAGAAAGGTGAAAGAGAACTAATACTTGGGAAAATGAACTAAGTGCCTGATCCTTTGCTAGACAGTTTATATATCATTGCATTTAATTCTCACAATAACCATATAAGTCAAATAATATTTCTGTTTTACGATAGAGGAAACTAAAACCTAGAGAAGTTAAATTACTTACACAAGGTCTAATAGTATGTAAGTGGTAGAGCTAGGATTCATTCTTATTTTCACTGTGTACCATATTGTTCATCATATTGTTTATTTATATCCTATACACTTAAAAATTTTCTTATTTAATTAAAATAAATTCACACAGGAGTAAGACAAAGGCATTATCATTGGTTTTTTTCTTTTCTTAAACAAAATAATGTGGTAAAATGCATTTGAATCTTTGTCTTTCTTTTAAGGCTGAACGTGAAGCCAGAGAAAATGTGAAAAGAGAGCAAGATGAGGCTTATCGCCTTTCACTTGAGGCTGACAGAGCAAAGGTGGGTTTGGTCAGCTGACTTCTGGGATAAAGCACTCAAACCTAAATAGTCTTTCATTATTAAAATGCCAGCCTTTTAATCATTTTGATCCCTAGAAAGATTGTGTTTGCAATGGAGAAAGCTAGATTCAATTAACAGAAAGAATATAATTCTATCAATGGTTCTTAACACATTAACTGCCATGTGAGTTGTAGTTAACTCACGCTAGTTTTGAGCCTCGGGCCTTGTGCAGTATATGTAACTCACACGTTTCTTCACCTTTGGAGCCTTGTGAACTATTTTTCAAGTTGCATATAACTCACACACAGAAAACAATAAAAAATAACAAATTTTTCATTAAGTTAGAAAGGATCATTGTATTTTTGCAGTTTTTATTCTATTTTCATAATGAAACACTGTGGCCCCCCCCAAATTTTTTTTTCTAGTGTGGCAGTCAATGTGTTAAGGCATGCTTCATTTTGACCATAAAGTTTGTCTTAAATCATGGAAAATGAAAACAAGAATGAGCCTTGTATCTATTTTATTTGTTTTTTAATTGGTCTTTAATAGAAGCCAGCAATATTTTAAAGGGTCTTTAGGTGATTCTAATGTGCAGTCAGGGTTGAGAACCACTGATTTGTTTAATACTTCTTGAGTACCTGCTTCTATATTGGACATTGAAGAAGGGGAGGAAAATGAATAAGCCACAGGTTTTGCCCTGAAAGGAGGGCTCACAAATGTGGTATAATAGATTAAGTCAAGAACACAGATAGCTGTAACATAAAGCAAGGTTCTTAAGTGTCACAAGGGAAGTACTGACTTCTTTGAGAGTTCAGCGAACAGAAATTTCAGTGGAAATTTTTTTCTAAATTTTGGAAAGCCAGGAAGTAGGAATATACTGGGGAACGTTTTAAAGAAGAAATGGTATATGTGAATTGGACAGAGAAAATGGAGTAGGAGGGAAGAGAAAGTAATATAAGCTAGCATTAGGGGTCTGGAAAGCATGGAGGATGGATAGAAGCTAATGTGAGTAGAGCTTGAGTACAGAAGAGATAACAGAAAGTGCCAGAAAGGAAAACCAATGAAAAGTCCTGAAGGATCTTAAATGCCACATTATCCAGAGCTATTGAAGGCATTTAAATAGGAGCCCAACATTTTTAGAGAGCTGTGCTCTGTTGTTGCTTTCATTTCCATTCTTGTTTGGGAGAAAAATATTTCCATTAGTATAGTGTACCTCCAAATCATGCTGGGAGTGAGCCCTTTGAATATAACATGCTCCTTCCTTCCTTCCCTCCCTCCCTCCCTTCCTTTCTTCCTTCCTTCCTTCTTTCCCTCCCTCCCTTCCTTCTTTCCTTCCTGCCTTCCTTCCTTCCTTCCTCAGTATGTATTGAGTATTGAGTGCTTGCTCCCTTTCTATTTTATAAACAGAGGGAAGCTCATGAGAGAGAGATGGCAGAACAGTTTCGTTTGGAGCAGATTCGCAAAGAGCAAGAAGAGGAACGTGAGGTGCGGCATAATTTTAAGAAACATTATTCAAAAGCTGAGTTATATTTCCACTGTATTTGATGCTGAGGCTATTGCTCTTTCTTATAACTTATTTTTTTCTACTTTTCTCAGACTCATTTTAGTATGGAAGACCTAACTTTTCCTTAATCATCCCTGATCTGTTGTATGGAACTCTTAGAGAACTTAATCTTTTACTAAATTCACAGCTTTCTATTATCTTCAATTCCTTTCCCCTTTTTCTGCCTGACAAATACTTCCTTCCCATCCTTCCTGGATATTGTCTCACCCCAAGAATAGAAAGAGTGTCTTTCCTGTCCCTTCTTCAGGCTTCACTTTACCCACCAAAAGATACTACAGGTTACTTCTGCCACATCTTGCATTGGGCCTCTGAATCCACTTAGCTTAGCTGATATTTTTCCCCTCTGAGTTCATGTCATGTCCATACCAATATTGAGAATTTTTCATTCACTTATTTTGCAAACACTTTTTGGATACTTACTACATACCCAGAATCTGTTAGGGCACAGTGATATAGACATGGATCCTGCCCTCCAGGAGTTAACAGTCTTATAAAAATAGGGTTGTAATACCATATGTAAAAGTTATTATAGAGGTATGCCTAAGGTGCAGTGGGAACAAAAAGAAGGGGAGTTAAATGACTTCCTAGGTTGGCTTCACAGTAAAGGACTTTTATTAATAAAACTTTTTTCTAGACATGATATATAATGGCAAGATTCGCTTATAAAAAGAGGAAGCCCTCTAACAAGTGACAGAAAGGCCTGGAGGGCCCAAACTGGGGTTGAGGAAAATTCAGTCATCATTTTCAGTCAAAGGATGCCACCCACTTCTTTCACTTATTTAATACATGCTTTTCAAACAAGAACTGTGCTGAGCACTGAAGGGAAACAAAGGATAATAGAACATTTTCTGCCTGCAAAAAGAGATTACATCTTGGAGGGAAGCTATAACATGTCTACAAGTAATAGCAAATCAAGAAAAAATGTGCCAAATGACATAGAAAAAGTTAAAAGCAAAATACTTAGGGAATTCAGGACCAAAGGAAAAATCTTTTACAGGTTCGATAATCAGACAACATATGGAAGAAGTAATATTTGAGCTAGGTCTTGAAAGATATGTGAAATTTCACTATTTGGAAATCATAGTTTATCTATGTTAAAACACTTATTGAAGAATAACATCTATTGGATGTCGGGCAGGGGGGGCGAGGAGGAGGGGACGGGTATTTGCATACACAAAGAGTACAATGTGCACTATCCAAGGGATGGACACACCTGAAACTTGGACTTGGGGGGGAGTGGGGAGGCAAGGGCAACATACATAACCTAAACATCCGTACCCCCATAATATGCTGAAATAAAAAAAATAAAAAAACAAACAAACAAAAAAAAAACTTATTGAGTAACTGTCACATATGTACAAGATACCATGCCTGACAAACCCTAGTCTCTGCACTCTGAGGATTCTCAATAATGGAAGGGAGAAAATACTTTGTTGAGCATCTTCTGGGTATTGAATACTCTGCTGGCTGCTTTACATATGCTTACTCACTAACCTTTAAAACAAGCTACAAGGTTAGAAATTTCTCTTTACAAGTGAGAAAACTGAAGCTCATTAAGGAGTCGCACATACAGAAATAGGAACAGCCAAGATTTTCACCTAAGTCTTTGTGACTACAAAGCTCATGCTCTTTTTCATGCTTTATTCCAGTGCAAGGCTATACATCATTGTATGTGTTTATAGTAGTCATATATGCAGTTTCACAAAAGTTTAGATAAGAAAAAGATTAATGACCATCCTTTTAAGCTATTTCAAGAAATATACTTTTAAAACTCAGGATTCTTGCTTCATTATGCTCTATTTCAAACATGCTCTCTCTCTTTCTGTTAATAATATACCTTCAGCCACCCTGGTTTGCTAAAATGTCAAGGGTACACAATTAACTGCATGTTCTGGATCTAGAGCTTGGCAGCATATGTACTTTCTTCTGATGATTTGCCTAATTTAACCTGGGCCAAAATTTTCTCTCTTTTCCAAATGTAAATCCTGTCCTTTCATAGAAGACCCTATAAATATCTTTTAGCATAACTCAATATATATGTTCCAGCTGTTAACATGTGAGAGGATGAGGCACGGGGACAGGGAGGGCAGGTAAGATTTTGCACGTAGTCATTACTTGCACTTGTCCATTGATGTGCTCCCATTAAATGCAAGTTCGGATAATACTGTGCACTCTACCCTACTTCACCTGGGAGTCACAATTAAAGGCTCTTATAAATCCCACCATAAAGAAACTATTTATCTTAATTTATTTATCTTAATTTAATCCAGTCTTATCCAAATTTGATCCTTTTTTTTTTTCATGGAACACTAATTAACATATGTTAGCACACTGGTGTGTCACAAACCCCTCTTTGGAGAAAGCTGGTATCATGCAACCTCTGAAGAAACTGAGACCCAGAAAGATTATATAGTTTGCCTATGGTCACCAAACTGGTTGCACACATAATCTGGATCAGATTATGGTCACCTGACTTTTCACAGTATCACTACCTTCCTTCTAACTGGAAATCCTAACCGGTATAATTACGTCGAGAAATAAGAGTGGTTTTATTTTTATTATCTCCAGTATTTGAAGATCCTTTAGAAAAATGAAGTATTAAATAGTTAAATCACCTTGGTTTTAGAGAAATTCCTTACTGGTGGACCTGATTTTGCTGTGTGGTAACTGTTGGAGTGAAATCAGTAAAATCTAGAAAAGTATATTGGTCTGGTCCTTAGCCCTGATAAGGAGAAAGGCTGTAAGACTATTCTGAAAGAAAAGCAAAGAAATAACAGCAAAGATCTCACCCTATTTTACTAATTTATATATTTACTTATTCTTTACAAAATCAGTTTCAAGAAACTTAGATAAATACGTGCATTTCAAAGGGATTAAAAAAGAAAGAATAGGTAAAGAAATCAGGGCAAAGGACAAATAAAGATAAAACCAAAGGTAAGATTAACATGTTGACAACAGAAAATCCAGTACAGGCACCAAATCTGTGTGACAGGGTTCTATACATTTGTTCAACATGAACCATAAAATTTGTTCTATACTTCTCTTGGGCCAAGGCAAAAAAAAAAAAAAATTATAGTTTACAAGCTTTACTTTGTGTGTAACATCAGATAAAGGCCAGTCTCCCAGAAGGTGCCCACATTTTTCTAGTACTGAGACTTAGGAGCACTGTTTCCTGTGATTCCTATTCAAAAGGAAGCTGTGCAATGTGGTGAATACCATCCCCAGCTATATCCAGTAGCTACAATGACAATAGCAAGTCATGTATACCAGTTTCTTATAACTTTTTAAATGTAATTCTGAGTCATAAGGCCAAAGCACAATTTAGTAAAATCATCTCTGCAAAGGCCCAAATAATACCTTATTCTCGTAGTCTGGTTTAAGGGATGGATTTTATAATAACTAGAGGAATATGCAAACTATATATCTTCCAAGAAAGCCTTCCTGAATATTGTTTTTTTTTGCCACTGAGTTTTTGGTAAGCAGACTAGGTCTTTAGCTAAAGTCTTTGACTCCCAGGTCAAATAGTACATGGACAAATTTAGGACATGGTCTAATAATTAGAGCTATGGCTAAAAGGGCTAAATTTTGGAGAATCATGGGTAGGAGAAAGTGGACACAAAGCTATTCCCTTTTGCTGATGGTTCCCTTAGATAGAAAAAAAAAAAAAAGTTAATTTTTGCCTATCTACCCAAAGTTGTTTCCTTTTATGCCTTGGTGCCTCCTTAAGTAGATAATGTCATATAATATGGCCATTAATTGGAGGAACAGAAGAACGTGGAATTAGAAGGCTTGGCTCTTTCCCTTCAGTTTTCTGATTTGATCTTCACAACCACTCTATAAAATTGGTGAGGCAGATATCATTACTGTTTTACAGTTGAAGAAAGTAAGATCACAGCTGGATTTAAAAGTCTATTTTTAGCCTGGCACAATGGTACATGCCTATAGACCCAACTACTCTGGGGGTGGGAGGCTGAGGCAGGAGGAACGCTTGAACCCCGGAGTTCGAGGCCAGTGTGAGCAATATAGCAAGACCCTATCTCTAGAAAAATAAAATAAAAAATTTAAAGGTCAGCCTAATTGGATCTTGAAAAAGTTGTTTCTGCCAAAACCAAGTGTGAATCCTACAACTCATACAAATCAATTTCCCAACAATAGCTCAGCCAGTAAAGTACTTTAAGCACATGGTAACGTAAAATTTAACTCCAGTGTCAATGACATATTTGGTTCTCATTTACATTTTAGTCTTATTCAACACTGGTTAGGCATACAGCATTAAGTTTGAAAATTACTGAACTGTTTAAAAGATCAGTACTAGATCTATAACTATTATACTCTCCTTTTTGGAGATTTCAACCATCACAGTGAGGTGAGATCAAGTGATTGGTCGAATTATACCTGGACATAGGGAAAAAAAAAAAAAGCAAAGAAACTTATTAACAAGTATACTTTTAATTAGCCTAGGGATAATATAT